TTTCCTAGAATATCTTAAGATTTTGATTGTAAAACGCAAGTTTTCGTCCTTGACACGACGGCTTTTGAATGAAATCTCTTCTTGTCCTACCCCAATTCTATTGAAAGCTCGAGTTTGACTGGAATGAACCGTGCATGCACACTTGAATTCACCACAATTAAACCCCATAGTAATTATCTTTCTGACAAAGCCATGTTTTCTTAGCAGGCCCCATCACAGATTATGCAATGAAAGAAAACGAAGTCCTGTACGATCTGGATGCTGTTACAATCTGCATGTTTGCAAACTGGAATCCTATGAATTTCTCGCCTGAGGGTGACCAATGTATGTTCAGCTGTACGCTGCGCTGCGCCAGGATCACACAACGAGTTAACGCTGTTTACATATCTCAATCTCAGAATTCTAATCCATGGCAATAGAAGGTTTTATTTGGTTCTTATTTCCTTTATCATTGCAGAAGAGCTTCATAACAATCAAATTATATCATTCATTTTCAAAACACCCTCCCCGTGGCTTTTGAAAAAGTTCCGTGGGATATCTTTCTGTAAATTCCTATGTTTATGTATGTAAGAATGTAACTGCACGACATGTTTTACCTAGATAAGCATTTAGTAAGAGTGGACGGAAAAATCCCTTATATTATAAGAACTTTGTACCAACTCTGAGCGTGCAGAATTAACGTCAACATCTATTTGTTTGTTTGTTTCTATTTCCCCAATTTCCCCAACAATTTCCGCGTCTTGTATATTAAGTTTTCTTCCGTCTCTTTCCATTTTGCAATTTAAAACAATTCGATATTACTTCGCCAAAATGCTGAATAGCTTTAAATATTCTTTTAAATGTAAATTCGGTGTACCTCTTTCCTTGAAATAACTAAGGAGGATCCAAATGGGGTCAACCGTTAGCCATAAAACGGCTAAAAATGAAGCCGTTATGCGTAAAGATTTACACATTTTTATTGTTAGTCGTTAGAAAGTTAATCGTAAAAATTTTTCCTTTTAATCCCGAAGAGAGGACGTTGACCGTTAGCTATAAATTAGCCAAAATTTTAACCGTTAGCCGTAAAAGCTATCGACCCATTGTGGCCCTCAATAAGTTGCTCAATGGTCTGAACGCGCCCTATCCTGGTTATGAACTGGTAGAAGAGCGAAGTTTGACCTTACATTGTCCCCCTTAAACCCTATTCACACCAAAGCTTAAACATATCTTAAAGCTGTTTTGTTAAACTCCTTTCCCCTTAAAAGATGTTTAAAGTTATATTTTTCTACTTCCAGCACTTTGAAAATACAAGTTTGTAATTGCTCGAACCCTATGGAAAATTCTGGTCTTCATTTCAGAGGTAGCGGTCTTGAGGAGGAACCCTGGGAATGAGGTTGTCTTACCGTTCGTACCCAGTCTAACGCGTTTGACCTACCGCCATTTTGATTTTTTTTCCTCAACACGTGCGACAAACTGATCTTCCATTTATCGCCATCAAACTTGTTGCTTCAAATCTGTAAAAATTTTGAACAAGATGTCATTTGGAGGAGCATCTGGGAACGTCCAAGTTGATAAACAGCTTCAAGAAGAGCTGCTTGCTGAAGATCAAAAATACAAGTTCCAACACCAGATTCACGAGTTTACAGATATGTGTTGGGAAAAATGTGTCGAGAAACCGGGCAATAAACTCGATGGAAAAACAGAAACTTGCATCGAGAACTGTGTGGAAAGATTTCTCGATACGACAAAGTTTATCGCTAACCGTTTCAGCGAACGGTTTAAGTAAAGGCCTCGCTTGCTGGATTAATTATTGCATGTTCCCGGCCTGACATGACAAAACGGTTTTAGCGGTTACCAATAATATTGGACGACCTTTCAGTGTGGAAAACGTGCGGTTAGCAGAACGCAGAGATGTACATTTGAAGATTTTGACTGTGTGGGATTAAAGTTCTGCTCTCACCATCCGAAGCACCTCAATCGGCTCACAAGGAGAAAGAAGGAACAACAATTAATAATTTTACGTATTAGGACGAATTATGGGCACGATAAATTTAAGTGAATTTGTACTGGATTTGAACGTACCAATTTTCAAAAGGTCAAATTACCAGGGGGGTTATGTTTAAGCTTTGAATTGATTAACTCATTAGTTACAGGTGATTCATGCTAGTAAAGATGTTGTATGTATTCAGACTCTTATTGCTATGATTGACAGCACATGGCTCTTAAGAAGTGCCAGCAATACAAAAAAACTGTGCAAAACAGTTTTAAAAAATGTTACATGTATGCATACAGACTGTTTACTATATTGCTTCAGTGTAGTTTGTGATTTTATGCCCAGAACAAAGGAAGTTTGGCTGAAAGTAAGAAATGTGCACACCTATCCAATATTTCTTTACTAAATTTAGGGAACTACCATTACTCATGGGTGACCTAGTAACCAATCGGCTAGTGCACTGGACCCCTTCTTTCTACCCAAGAGTATAAAATGGGTACCAGCCAATTGGATGAAATGCAGAGGCTTGGGTGTTAGAATCCCATCCAGGAGGGAGCAGTGATTCTCCTAGTCGTTTTATGCTAAAGAAACTGGGATAAACTCCAGCTGGTTGGGCCACACAGCTCAAGACACTGTTTAATACATTTTTTTTTTCAAAAGCAGCTGCAGAATCTGATATAACTCTCAGTTTTGAGAGAATATTATTATTCAAAGAATATCCTTCCCATTAGAAGGTTCCCATAAAACTATAAACTCATCAAGACTAATGAATCTGGTCAAAATATTATCAGATTTTCTTTATACAGAAAAAAAGGATCCTGGTGAAATTTACTTGCTTCTCTTCTGCAATTTCTTTATTAGTTGCAGATCACTGTCAAGGATCAATTTTTTACTTGCAGTATATGAGCAATATATCATCTTTAGTCAAAATGTGTAACAGGATGGAACACAAACCAAATGACCTGTTTTCTGTGAGGTAGCAGTGCAAGGTCACCAAGCATAGCCAACTAAGATCGAATTTAACAGGACATCACACAACAGACCTGACTCAAGTTTAACTTAGCCTAGCGTACACATTACCACATATACTGTACCACATACAACTGACAATTATTTGAAACAGAAGTGATTAAGAGGTACCCAATATTAAAAGTTCAGAGAGAGAAAGAGAAGATCTTTGAAAATTTTATTCACAGTTTCCAGCAATATCACACAGGTAACAAACACAAACAATTTCATCATGTCACCTGTACAGTGAACACCAGATATTTTATCAAAACTTAATGTCCAAGAAAGATGGCTTTGCTTGAAATAATTCAAATTTATCCTTGCCTTGTTTGTAATTGCATACAAGTACTCAGTGAAGCTCTACCAGTATCCTAAAACATGCAACATTTGTAATTGTTGTAATTGGTTGTAATACCTATATTTGCACATGGCACATGAAAAGTAAAAACACTTTTTTCAACTCCAAAAAATTAACAAAAAATAAGAGTAGATTTATCCTTACTAGGTTTGACAGATTATTATTCATTTCATATTTTTTTTGTTATATGATGTGCTGAGTCATATACATTTTCATATGTTCTTTCTTATGACCTGATGGAGGACAGACATACATTGTAAATTATGACTGCACCATTGACACAGCTTATCTTAGCAATAAATAGATTCCATGATGTGTTTGTTCTGACTCTGAACAGTAATATTTCACAGAAGACATCAAAATGTCACAAGAACATCAGTGACACACTTGCCTGCATTTTGTGCCCCTTTTTTGCACTTACAAATTCTAATGACCCTTGTAATCTGCTCCTGTGATCTATTACTGAACAGACACACAGCAACATGGAATCTATTTGTCAATCTGTTCAAAGGAACACTTAGGTTACAAAAAAATATGGTCAGCGTATGAATTCAATAAGTTTAGGTAAAAAACAATTTTATTTGTTTAATAAGGCTCTAAAAATACTCTTTACATGATTCTTCATCTTGTTGCACTAGACACATGCCATTTTCATATCAAGTACACAGTTGTTTTTCTTTTTTGTTTTTGGTAATTTTAAAACTACATTGTATGAATGAATATCATGAGCAAGACAAAAGAATGTGTTCACAACTTATTTCCTCAGTTGCATAACCACCTACAATGCAAAGAAAGCACATTCAAACATTAAGTGAAGTAATAATTTCCTTCACCCTAAATCTAGTCTGAACTGAAAGCAATATAACCCTTTCACTCCCAGGACACTGACAAAAAAGAAATGTCTCCTTAAAATATTAATAGTTTTTTAAAGTAAAAAAGTGATGAGAAGAGAGGAAATATAAATTTGGGGATATACATGTTTTTTGGCTTGAAGCCAAATTCTCAAGGCCAAAATTATAGGCAATGTATGGAGTACAGTGCAGAGAGTTGATATTTTGATCTTGGGAGTGAAGGGGTTCAGTTGAATGGCAAGAATGGTGGAGGACAGGATCAGGTAATGGTTAGCATGCTATAAATTAAGAATCTGACTTAAGACCGATGCCTATGATCTGGATTTTAAAGCCCTGATTGAGCCAATTGTGTTTATGGGCTGAGCCCACCTCCCTCCTACAGTGGCTCTGACTCCACTCACAACTGAGTACCAGTGAAACTTACAGTTTTGTTAACTTTTAACACCCTAACATCAGTATACAAGTTCTCCATACTGTTCTCTATACATTTCCTGTGGTACTTACATGCACAAGGGGAATTTGTCTTTCTTAAGGACTTGTGATCATTTAATTTATACCCATGACCTTAATATTTGATTCAGGAGTAATACTATTTAGAGAAATCAGATGCTAATCATCCCTAGGAAGAAAAGGGTTAAAGAGGGGGTTGCATCCATACTCTTGTGGAAAATTAATGTATGCCACATATTACTCCTGACAATCACTTCATCTGGATTAGGTTTGTAGCAACAACATCAGGGTCATGATTGAGATGGAGAAAAAGCTCAATTAATCCTATATTTTCTTAATGTACATGTAAGTAAAACTTAAATCACAGTACCTTATTAGCTGCATCTAATGATGATATAAGATTGTCTAATTCTTCCTTTGAAAGCTCAACAGAAACATTCCTATCTTTCCCACTCTCATTGACATCAAAGTCCAGTGTGACAGTGGGTTCTTTTACACTGGCCAACTTATCACTAGACATTGTCATCTATAGGACCAAAATAAAATGAACCATCAAATTATTATTGGAACTGATTTGATTTTCATAACTGGTTTAACTCTTAAACTTCCATGAGTGACCAAGACAGAATTTTCCCCTACAATATCAGTACAACCTGAGCAGACAAGTGATGAGAATTAAAATATATTACATACCAATAAGGGGATTTGATCCAATACCAAATTCTCTGAACCAACATAATAAGAATTACATCACATAAAGGGAGGAGAATTATTATTGAGATCTCAGAAGTAAAGGGGTAAAAGTTCACAAGCATTGCTTGTACATGTACTACTTTATACAGTATCTAAGCCAGTGCTTGAATTCTTGCTTACTAAACTGTGTCTTTCTTTGAAAATTGATAATGTGAGTTACAGCGGTAAATTAAAACATGGCCAATCCCACAGCATGTTGGACCACTACACATAGACTCATTCCCAATCAGTTCTCTCTGGCCTTTCTCTATTATCAAAATGAGATTAATATTGGGATCAATATCAGTATCTAGGTGACTGCCCACTTACCCCTCCCCTAATTCAACAAACTTGTTGTCAATTGACAACAAGTTAATGTTAATGTTGGGTTAGGGAGAGGTAGGTGGGCAGTTGCCCAGATACTGATATTGATCCCAATATTGTCTATAACTGTATACCCCACATTGTATTTGATAACAGTATGCTGTAAATTTTCAAATGCTATTAGCTATAAAATAATAAATCTTATTAGCTCAGTGGCCAGTTTTTTATTTACATATTTCCTTTTTTCAAATAACTCAAGATTACACTTAAACTTGACAGTTGTGTTACAGGAGCAATGAGGTAAAGAACACAGTTACTCAACATCATTTTTCACAACTAGTTTTTGCTGTAACTTCAATTTTACACAGTCATTCATGATATAAATTTTACTGGCATCAAGAAAAAGTTTCCTGTTATGTATAATCAAATGTTGCATGTACCTTGACTTTCCAGTCAAAATCTTTTAGGTAAGAATTTGATATTGAAGCTGCATTAAACACTAGCATTTGTCTCACTTCTTCTTGACGAGGCCAGACACAATCAAGTATGGCTTGTTTAACCTCAGAAGTTAGTGAAAATCTGTCAAGTTCCTTGGAGATCTGTGTAAATGTAAAAATATAACAAATTGAAAATTTTGCAGGAGTCCTATTGTACCTGGAAAGTAATAAAGTAAAAAATTGCATTAAAATGAAAGTCAGAAGCATTAAAAATATCAGAGTAACAATTGAAACCATTTCCAAATAAAAGAGACTTGCACTTGTCAGAGAGCTTGGGTGAAAATTGTCCTTTAGATCATGATTCATGACCGTTGAAAAAATGCTCACTAACAATAACTCCCCAAAGTGATAAACATGTAACTTCTCTTTATAATATCCATACATTATCCAGCAAGCAGGTAATGTGAATACTCAAACTTATAAAGTAGAAGTTGTTATCTTGATCTTACTCCAAATTATTGTAACTAATTTACAAGGAAACATGTAGCAGCCAGAAGGGAGAATTAACAAGCAGATCTTGGGAGTTAAAGGGTTAAATCCCAGAAGCAAGAACTTCTTCCTGTGATATCCATACGTCATCCAGCAAACAGGTGATGAGAATATTCAAACTTATCAGGCATAAGTTGTTATCTTGATCCAATATCAAATTTCCACAAATATTTTACAAGGGAATGTGTAGCAGCAAGAGGGGAGAATTCACAATCACATCTTGGGAGTTAAAGGGTTAAAGCTGATGTAATAGTTCTTATCTTTCACAATTAAAATCGTTTTTCCTGACATCCAACAAACACATGGTAAAAGGAAGGAGCCTCTGTCCATCATTCCCTTGACCTGTAACAACTCACTACTGGGATTAAAGCCTGGTTTTCATGAGCAACACAAGCACAAGCTAAAAATGCACCCATAAGCTAAATATCCTTATAAAGTAAATATGTGTTTGTGCTTGTGTTTTTGTTTATGCTTGGGTCTAGGCTGTTTTCATGGTGAAATACATGTATCAGCTGTTGTGCCTGTGTTTGTGCTTGTGCTTGTGCTTGTGCTACTGGTGAAAACTAAGCTTAACTGTTTCTCTTGCCTTTGTGCAACAGCACATTCTCTTTAAACTAATCACTTTTTTCCTGACAACCTGACTGAGACTGACAGACTTATTGACAAATGGAGAGACAGACAGAGGAATGGATGGAAACACAGACAGATAGAATAATGTAAATTGGCCACCAAAGAGAGTTTCCAAAGCTGAAGGTTCAATTATTTAGCTGTTCACCCTGTCTAAGGGCTAATGCTCAAAATTTCAGCTTTGGGAACTCTTTGTGGTGGCCATGAACCAAATTATCTTGTAAAACCCTCCACTGATGCAATGCCACAGTTTCTTTAGGATCTGACCGCCTTTATCCTAATACAATTCTGGTGGCCTCCCAGATAATTATTTTCTGTCTGTCAATTGCAGCAAATTTAGTGCAGAGAACATACCTAGTACCTGTAATTTTTTAATCATCATTTGATAAAAAAAAAAAAACAAAACACTTGTAAATCACAAAATCAAACCTGTTCCTTGTCCATTCCTCTTGAAGTGAATCCTTTTAAAGTTTCCTTTCCATTTTGTTGTAAAAGTTTCCACTCTTCAGTTGTCCAAATCTTTCCATAGTTTTGATATCTCAAGCTCTTCCCAGTACATATACTTTCCAACAGTTCGTGTGTTATCTAAGTAAAGGTTCAAAAATTTAATAATGAAATCAAAGCTCACTGATTACATGCTGCAATCGAGATTTGTAACGGCCACAAAACTAACAATTCCGAAGTTGATTAAAGTTTCGCATTCTTAAAAAGAAAGCTATCATTTCTCATCATTTTCTTGCACTAGAAAAAACTTCTCCACGGAAGAAGAAGAACCCTTTGATAAGAAATTGCGACTTAAAATGTGAGGCGGAGATTGATATGAGCTTCAAATCACGCAGAAAAACCTTTATTTAGCGTAGAACTTAACATCACATGACATTTTATTTCCCATAATAAAAGTAAAAGCTGAAAAGTGCATCACATGAAATTTCATTGCATATTAATTTTTCGAAAAAATTTGTTTCGTTCTCTCACTTTTTCGGCCTCTTCCTTCGAGCATTTTCCCAGTAACTCCAGTCCTACCCTGTGACTTCCTCCGTCCGCCATCTTGTTTACGCGCCTGCTAAAAGAGTTCAGCGGTCCTTCCCGGAGGAGATGCGCGAAAGGCATAGCAACTCAGAACGATTACCCTAGCAACAGATGGTACAGATTCAATCAAGGGAACAGGAAGATTTGTATTGTTCGTATCTAGTTGTGGTTTTCGGCGTGGTTGTCGAAAATAGCAGGACCGAAATGCTTCAAGAAGGCACTGGAAGAGTCAAAGTTTACGCCAGAATTCGGCCAACGGCGCGATTCGCGCAGGAAATGATCGAACTCTTACCCGATGGAAAATCGATCAATATTCACTGCAAGAAAGATTTGAGACGTGGTTACATCAACAACCAAGTACTTGACTGGAGTTTTAATTTGGATCGCGTTTTACACAACGCTAGTCAAAGCGATGTTTATGAGGAATGTGCAAAGAGAATCGTTACCGAGGGCTTAGACGGTTACAACGGAACGATTTTGGCGTATGGGCAGACGGGAGCGGGCAAGACTTTCACAATGACTGGTTCGACGGAGAAATTCCAACACCGTGGAGTTATCCCACGGGCAATTCAACAGGTTTACAGAGAGATACGGGAAAGGTCTGAGCACGCTGTGACTGTACGGATCTCATATTTAGAAATCTATAACGAGCACATGTTTGATTTGCTTAGTACCTTGACCGGGGCCCCTTTGTTAGATCCTTCTCAGATGACCGTCACAGAGGATGATGATGGATATACAAGAGTGAAAGGGCTCAGCATTCATCAGGCTAATAGTGAAGAAGAAGCCTTGAATTTACTCTTTGAGGTAAGATGTAACCGCATGTTTGCTGATTTGGAAAGGAAGAACAATGAATGTAAGTTGTAGAACTTGAACTTGGGAAGGGGGCTCTGCAATCCTGTGTTTTTTTTTTTTTTGAATATTGATGTCACAGCCTCTTTCGAAATTGGAATTTGAATTTAAAGAAAAATATAAAAAGGCATGGATGGATAAGGAAATTAAAAGATAAGTTAGAAATAATAAGCAGTGATAATAGTGATGTTAAAAATAAGAATGATACTAAAAATGATACTTCAGTAATTATCCTAACCCTGGTGATAGTAAGTACAATAATATTAATAATTATAATAATAGCAACTATTATTATCGTCACCATCATCATCATCATGAAAGACCCTTTTTAAGACCTTAAGCTAAAAACTACTATTATTTATTTATTCATTGATTTTTTTACATGTGGGAAATTATTGATCATCTAAGTCATGTTTGGAATATTTGGAACAGCAATCAAGCTTTCCATACCTTGGGTTGAGGAGGTACAATGTAGGAGTTCCTTGAATCTCTGGTTCACTACAAAAAGCTTGCTGAATGGGTATAGCAGAGTTCTTTAATATGGCTCTATGGGATGTAGCTTCATGTCCTAGATAGTACTATTAATGATACCATCTATCTGTATCTTCTAATGGTCACTAATAAAGCAGATTGTATAATAAGCTCAGTTATGCATGCATTCTGATTGGTTCTCACTTATGATCTATTGGAGGACAGACGTATAGATGACATCATCATTAAAACTTTTTTTCCATATATTTTAATTCTTTATTATATAAAACAAATAGATTCCAAGTTGCCGTGTGTCTGTTCAGTAATAAATCACAGAGGACCTCAAAATGTGGTAAGAACATCAGTGACACACTCAGCTACGCCTCGTGTGCCACTTTTTTGTTCTTACCACATTTTGACATCATCTGTGATCAATTACTGAACAGATGCACAGCAACTTGGAATCTATTTGTTAAGTAGACAATCCAAACACACCATAAAAATCAAGGTTTAGCTAGATGCAGTTGATAAGCAAAATTATAAATTGGAATAAAGAAATTGGTTTGAAATCACATTGATTTATACAAATGATAAAGGTGAAATTGCAATTGAAGTTGCAAAGTTAGGATTGAATGGTTGTTGTTAAATTTGTGGTTTAAACCAAAAGAAATACAGCACAAACTAAACTAAGAAAAGTATCCTGGGAAATGTAACACTAACCTAACTGACAATGAACCGATTATAAAGAGAACTGAATGCAAGAAATAAACCAATAATACCAACTCAAAACGGAAATATTGTAAACATAAGAGAAAGAGTCACCAGTACTTTGGTCTTACTAGCTCCTTATAATAGCAGATAATTCAGTAAAAGTTGAATGTGATAGCAGCAATGAAATCCAATATCTAATGCATGTGCTTTAAAATGTAACTGATTGAAATATTGAACTTATTAACTAACAAAGAATTGATTGATAAAATTAAACCAAAATTAACCTAAATGAAAAGGATACAAACTACGCATTTCAAAAGCAACACTATCAGCTTAAAATGTGGATTACATATTAATATTTAGATGAGAACACACTACTTTTTATAATGATGATGATGATGATGATGATGGTGATTGTAATCAAAATGATATCAAAAAATAATGTTAATAATCATTCCTGTCACCTTAAAGAGCAGGTTTCACTTGCACTACAGTCAACAGTGTTATGCAAAGGAGCATCAGTCTTCTTTAAAAACATTTATTTTTCCACATTTATTCCTCCACTTACGATGTTAAATGTTATCAATTGACTGAAAAGCTTCCTCTCATTGATTATTTATTCCCATAAAGACATACATGTACTGAAGTGAACCTGTTAAGCCTCTGTCTAGGGTTGGAAGGAGCACCACGGGTCTGCGAGGTGTAAACTAGCAGCTAAGGGACTATGAGGGCAACCAACCCTCATTACTGAATCATGATTGCTCAATCTTGAGTCTAGGATACTAGCCACAAAATTGTAAAATCATTCCTTCTCAATGAGCCAACTTCCAACCTGACCACAGCATTGTGTCAGGTTTGTCTGTGTGTTGTAGATTGTACATGTACCTTGGACATTTATCTATCGTCTTCTCAAGAGTAGAAATCGACTTAACTATGTATAAGGGCAGGGTATAAGGGTTGAGTGAGATTCAAAGAGCTTAAAAAACTAGAAAAACTATTAGTTGCCATTGCTTTGGCACTATTCCTCTCTCAGTACTCAAGGGAGTAGTTTCCTTTCCATTACCTATCAATAACCCAATGTCATAGTCTCTTTAAGTACATTAACATCAAAAATAGCTAGTAACCAATGCAGACCTTCTTTTATTTGGTGGTTTAGTCACTCACCCTCTAAATGAGGGAATCGAAAGAGGACTAACACCTTTATATCAAGTAAAAATTATTGGTAAATAATCTTACAATTTTTTTTTAATTTCAGGGCGAAACTAATCGTATTATCGCTCAACACGCATTGAACAAACGTTCATCTCGCTCGCATTGCGTGTTCACCATCTACATCGAGTCACACTCGCGCGTCGAGTCCAACACGAAGTACGTCACCTCTAAGCTGAACTTTGTGGACTTAGCCGGGTCTGAGCGACTGGGGAAGACTCTGTCTGTAGGTGATACCCAGGTGGAAGCCATGTACATCAACAAATCGCTGACCTTCTTGGAGCAAGCTGTGATAGCCTTGGCAGACAGAAGGAGAGATCATGTCCCATTCAGACAGAGCAAACTCACTCATGTGTTAAAAGATTCCATTGGTGGGAAATGCAACACTTTGCTGATTGCAAATGTATGGGGAGAGGCTGCTCACATTGAAGAAACGGTGAGGAATATTCCTTCATTATTTTTTCACAGCGAAAGGGTAAGTTAAAAGAAAACTGAAATAAATTAACGAAGAAAGGAAAGGAAGAGAAAGAAACAAAAGCGTCCTGTGTTTAGATGGAATGAAAACATTTTGTAGATTACAACGTCGATACATCTTAAGTGGCAGATCGTTTGCTGCGCTTTGTGTTTAACCAATTAGTCTGCCTCCTGCTAGTTGAGATTTTTTTAAAACATTGCATTTATTCACAATGTTTCTCTCCAGTTTGTTCGTGTTGGCCCTGAAACGACCCCCCTCCCAGCGAGGGAGTGGTCAAGAAGTACACATACATACACAAGTTACCTACTTTCGGGAAGGAAAAATTGACAGCCACTTTTTTTTCCTCAAAGCTTTCCACGTTACGTTTTGGCAGTCGAATGATGAACGTGCCATCAGAACCTGCTGTTACAGAGCACTTCGACATGATGAGACTCTGCAAACAACACGAGAAAGAAATCCGAACTCTTCGACAAGAACTCGCCATGCACGACACACTGACAAACCGCAGTCAAATCTCCTACGAGCCGCTTTCGGAATCTCAAATCCAGGATGTCCGCGAGCAAGTAAAACGATTCTTGGCGGGTGAAATGAACGATATTGAACTCGTCAATGTTCGGCAAATTAAAGAGACGTTCGCGCAGTTCCGAGTGATTGTGAACACGATGAAGGCGGACGTTGAGGAAAAGCTGCGAGAAAAGTACGTGTTACAGGAGAGAGATGGAGCAACTTCCGGTGAGTTGTTATCATACAGCCAGGGAGGGTGAGGGCGGCACTCGGGCCAATTTTTGTTGGGTGCTGTGCCTCTGGCCCGTCAGAGCCACTCACCCCATCACCATTACAGTTTATTCTGTGGCCAATTGTAGACCCCATCTTAAACGCATTTGGGCAAATGAAACAACTTTATAACCGCGAATCTTCCCAATTTTTTAAATCCCTTTTTTTACCAAAATCTTATGACCTCCAAAATCTCGATTATGTGCGACCCCATTCTAGTAACTGCAGTGTCAATACAATCCGTTTATAGTCAATCCAGTCATGAAAATGCGACCGCATCCAATTTTACCAAAATTTTATGACCTCCAAAATCTCGATTATGTGCGACCCCATTCTAGTAACTCCAGTGTCAATACAACCCATTTATAGTCAATCCAGTCATGAAAATGCGACCGCATCCAGCGGCACATTCCCATAATCTCTCACTTGATCGCACTGATTCCTTCTTCAACTACTTTTTGGTTATCAGCTTTTATGGTGTGGTTTGACCATATCGATTACTCTAAAAATAAAAATAAAAAAATTACCTTAGTCTACGTTTCCCGATTGGAGGAATAGTTGTGTTGAAATTGCATTCCCGGTAGCCGTGAGGCTGAAATTTTCAGGAAGGAACTCATATCGGATGACTTCCAAAGAGTTTGTTCAAGTTGACCGCTATTATCCATATTTCAGCAAAGAGTAACATATCTTTTCGAGAGAAATTAGGGTTTTTCACGTGACAACTGTACAGTAAAAAAAAAAACCAAATATTTGTATTTACTTTGTAGCCGCGGCAGATAAACAAGGCACCGTCCGGGGTGATAACAGTGGATTGGTTGGAGAAGTCGACGGCCGAGGATTTGGTGTAGGTGTTGTTCCCCCTGGTGTAAAACCAAACGTTGCAACCTTGGTAAGCACCAGGAAGGTAAAGAGTCGGGGAAAAGCTAAAGAGAGAGACAGTGCTAAGTCTCTTGCCCCGGGTAGTGGAGGGCAAATGGAGGGTCAAGCCGGAAGCGATGGACAAGATCGGGGACAGTCACCTTCAGCTCAGTCTCCTACGCAGCGCATGGCCACGCCTCCACCCAAAAGCGAGGCTTTTGAGGAATTCAAACAGGAAAGAGGCAGTGAAATTAACAGGATTCTCAATCAAAATAAAGGTAAGGGGTATTTTTGATGTATCAGAATTGGGAAATTCTAGGTGAAATTCAAGTGGTTTGACTTTAATTGCGATGAATTTTGAACATTGTCACATCCAGAAAGTGGCTGCTCGTTCACTGATTCCGGGTCGAATTGTTGATTTTGGATCATTGGTATTCATAGTGGGAAGAAAACCGGAGAATCAGTAAGAAAACCCTGAAGCACAGAAGAAAATCATTAGGGTAGTACGTCAAGTCCAAAACAGAACACATGCCTTAGCTTGCACCTCTGCTTCAGTATCTTCCTTATTTTTAGCGGTTTAAGTGTGGAGGGGCGGGGAGCTGAGGGATTTTGGGGGGATCACGTGGTTTTCAGTTGTCAAGGAGGGAGGGGGGGGTCCGCAGTCGTCGCTGAGAAAGTATAAAGGGGGGACTGGAAAAAATTGTCAGTTTACTGCCAATCAACTTCCAAGGTGAATCTCGTAGAGGCTTCAGGATAAATTATCGCTCTCTGAATGTGCTACATCGAGTTACAAGTATCTAATAATTGCTTATTCGCTGCAGAAATTTTGCGTGAGAAAAAGAAAAAGGCTAAGGAACTGTCCTCGTCAGTCAACAGTCTTATGGAAGAAATCAACGACACCAAAGAAATGTTGGAAACTCGTAAGCAAAACCGACTAGAGCAAGGGGAATTTCGAACAGACGATGGTCAAGTCATTATTGATGAAGACGAATACGAACTTGTTTGTAAAGCAAAAGATCTAAAGTTGCGCTATCGGCGTGACTATGAAGACCTGCTCAACACAAAATCCGAAGTTACCTACTGCGAGAAGCTGGTCAATCAATGCAGACATCGTCTCGTTACCGAGTTTGACAATTGGTATTCCGAATCGTTCCTCGGAGCCGACGATGAACCGAAGGGTGGTCGAGAAGGGCAAGTTCCCGAGGATGAACAAGAGAAGTTTGATCGACTTCAGTTAGAATTATTGATGGAACATCCTGACTCTGTACCTTATTACAATGCTAAGATGCAAACTGAACGGCGCATGCACTTAACGGCCAGCGGAAGACAACAGAAGAAGAGGAAGCCTGGGGCTCTTATAGCTACAGTTCGAAACAAGCCACCAACAACACTGACGGTCACTTGATCAAATTCTTAAAAACAGGGAAAAGTCTGTTAAAACAGTATATAACTATAATCACTATAAAAAATTATTTTTAAAAACAGGCTATAAAGGCTAAACGAAAAACTGCAATAATGTTTTATTTTCCTAGATAATTAGTCTCCTGAGCATTACCACAGATCTAGTTTTATGACATGATGGAGGCGCGTGCGTTCTTCTTCGCTTATGTGCGTCTACATTATACAGAAATGATCAAAATCATGTAGCACCAATTGCATTCAACTTGATGCAATATTCGCTTGAGTTTCGATATGAATTCTTTTTTTTGTGTGGTCATAACTGTTATTATTACGATCGTTGTTTTATTATTATTAGCGCTACTATTTCTAAGAGTATCCTTTGGAAAGTAATCTTTCATTCACAATTCACGCAAGTATCTAGTAGGCTAACCAAACTGACACTATAGAAAGAAGACTCCTTTTTCTCTTCCTTCTTTTCACCCTTATTTTAGTTAAATGAGTGACAAGGTGTAGACTTCTATTTAGTTTTCATTTGAGTGGAGGGTTTGTTATCAGTAGAACCTAATAACTTGTAAATTTTGCGCATAGTACTTGTAATATACTGTAACCTAAATCGGTTTGTAAATAAAGTGAGAGATAATGGCTGAGCTTTTGTTGTTGTTGTTTTTGTTGTTGTTGATTACTATTCCCTCTAAATTTGACTTACTAAATTTACTTCTAGAATTTATTATTTTTCATGCTTTTTTTGTTCAAGTACAACAATACACGAAACAGTCTCTATAACTAAAGCAAAACAAAGTTTGGCTGATTAATCAACAATTTTCAAAAGCAGTGGTCTGGCTGACAAAAAAATGGCTCTCCATTACATCACTTTTCACAATCTACAAAGTTAACGTGGACCATGCGTTTCAAAGTGTTATTGATATTTTTTAATTACAATAATTTTTTCCAACGATGCGTACAGAAAGCTTATTGCTGAGGCCAGGAGGGAAGCATGGACCCATTCCTCTGTGTTGTGTCTTACACCGCTCGGCCATTCTAACTTTTACTGCCGATTAAGGTATCACAGAAGTAAAATTAACGTTTTCATTCAATGATGAAATAGCATGCAAATAATTTTCGCTAATCTCATAAAAGTTTACATTACTTTCGAATATTTAATTTATTTACCATTATGAATTTTAGGCTATTCTTTTTTGCCGAGACTTTTTACAAGGTACCCTTATCATATGCCCATTTTACTTGAAGTCACCTGTAATTGTTACTGTTAAAAATATGGAAATGGTCAGTTTCTGTTGTAGTTAAGCGATTAGGGAAGGGGTTGGAGTGAAACCAAACGTACTCTTCAGTGCGGAAAACATCGGTTCTACGTTGGACTGGTTGAAATCGACTTCGACTGACATTTTCTTTTCTTCCCTCGAACGTCTCTCTACTAAAGGCTCCGTTAATCCTTTAACTCCCAGTAGGTCAAATTTGTAATTCTACTTACTGTCAACCATGCAATTCTCATTAATGTTAGTTCAGAGAATTAAGTATTGGATCAACTAATTATCCCCAAATTGATATTTTTCTTTATGTGATGATCAGTTGCAGTATACTACGATGTTATGAGGAAACTATGCAATGACACTTTTTGTAGTGTTTGTGAATGTTTAAGTCTGCCCTCCCCACCCCCCTTGTTTGAATATCGGAGCATGCGTGTTGCGATGTTAAGAATTAAACAACGTGTTGGATTCCTTTCAAAAGTGTTCTTTACTATCTGAGTGCGTTAAATCCGTCAATACACCACACTTTTCGGTGTTCCTCTATGTCCAAATTCCTGTAGATGTAAAGCTCCTGGGCTTGCGGACCAACTGAAACCGAGTAGTCCCTAGCCCTCCACACGACACCTCGGCCGCTTTCATGTCCGCTCGCAAAAATTTTTTTTGGGATCACTTTCTGAAGGAGCTTAGATACCAGGTTCAATTAGGGAACCAAGCCTTTTGATGACGTGAACAATTTTTCACTCACCGCCCCCGACTGGTTGAAGTGTAGTTGGAGGGGGACAGGGAAGGAAACATTTTTGTTACTTGCGCGGGAAAAAAACAAATGAGAAGTTATCTATTACCTTTTTTTTTGTTGTTATAATTTTCCAGAAAAAACAAATGGGAAGTTATCTATTACCTTTTTTTGTGTAATTTTCGCGGGAAATAATATTACCTTATCTCGCTCCGCTCCGTACATATACGAATCTTCTGCCTTTGGTTAAAATACACTTTCTTCGTTAATTCTAAACATTGCTCACGGTCAAATGGATCCAAAGGGAATTTCAAACCTTGGAAATACTTGCTTTCTGAATAGTGTCTTGCAAGCTCTGCTCTCAGTGACATGTTTTTCCGAAGGGCTCACTGGATTGCAGACAATCGCAAGAAGTTCATCTAAAACAGGTCTCGAAAATGTATTCAATATTATTTTAGCTCATTGATATTGGATAAAATCTCAGCAGGCAAACAACATCAACCCATCGGTGAACTGTGTAATTGAACCAAGTATCTTTAATGAACCACAAAATTCGTCATTAGTGTGGTAATCCGTATTCTCGACATTAAGCTTATTTCGACTTTATGAAACAACTGGTATCAAATTAAAATACGTATTTGACGACTTGATAATCTTGTTAGAACGTCACAGGAAGTTGTACATAAAAAAATGTTTAAGGCCTTTTCACTGTTTATGGCGGTAAATTTTATTATTCCTGGAAGCTTTGCAAGTCGTAGTTCTTTGCTCGATTATTTTTTGACACTGTTGTGTTGCGCGTTCATCTAAAATGTGCGTGTACGAGTACTAGGAGCGCAAAGAGTGTTGTTTGAATATCGGAGCATGCGTGTTGCGATGTTAAGAATTAAACAACGTGTTGGATTCCTTTCAAAAGTGTTCTTTACTATGAGTGTGTGCCAATCAGTATTATTCACACATTTATTCTGTTCCATTAGTGGTGTTTGTCTATTCATTCTTAAGGGTTGTACTGTACAGAGCTTCCTTAAGTAAATCCGTTTTCTTCAGTGCAAGAAATTAGGAATGTCAAAACTACTACAATTGTACAAATTGTTTCAAACTTTACCACCCCTTCCCCAAAGCAGCTACATGTATACAATACAGGGCCTTTTAAAAAGTCAATACACCACACTTTTCGGTGTTCCTCTATGTCCAAATTCCTGTAGATGTAAAGCTCCTGGGCTTGCGGACCAACTGAAACCGAGTAGTCCCTAGCCCTCCACACGACACCTCGGCCGCTTTCATGTCCGCTCACGCTATAGTCACATGACACTTAAAGTTCTTTACTTCCTTGTAATTGCTTTCACTTTGGTAGCGATATGGCTATTCCGTAAAATTTTGCTCTTTTGTGATTAATCTAGCACACAGCTTTTGACAAAGTTGGATGCTTGTTATGGTAAGTTGTAGATTCTATACTTTGTGCGGCTTCGTTCTAATTGCAAGATACAAAAAACTCGAAAAGAGAGCACTCGTTTGCCAGATCTTGAGTGAGACAGGAACTAGCAGGCTCCTTGAACAAATTTCTTCTTTTCAAAGCGGGTTATCCTAATAGTGAACCTCCTTTTGATAGTCTTTAGGCCAAAACAGAGATTTTCCAACTCAGTTCTGGTGTCTATCAGTGTTACTCAGTGGAGTAACATCAGTCGAATGACATCTAGAAAATATTGCAAAATGAAGTCCATAGCATTCATGCTCAACTTATTTCAAACTGATAATTTTACTGGTACTTCTTACTTACACGCGGAAGCTAGAATCTTCTTTTATGAAATGAAAATTTAACCTCGGGTTCAAAAATTACAAGTTGGCGGTGGTCGATCTCTTGCTAACTGGGTAACTGTCGTTGTAGTTGCGTTCAATTATTTTGGGGTACAGTGTGTTTTATTTGTGTTGTATTTCCTTTAATAATTCTATTTATTTCCTCTGTAATTTGTTGCAGAACTCCAGAAATCAAAATGTCAAGTGATTGCCACCGTGGCATTTAAACCATGGCAAGTGCAGCCGGGTAAGTGTTTGACAATCAGTTTAAAAGTCTTTGAGGGTTTGCTTGACTTGTGCTTGCAACAATAATTGTCACAAACCAAGCTTGCGCTCGAAAAGTTTAAGATTAGAAGATGTACCTTATGGTCGTTTCTTAGTAATTTTCTGGCTCATCCTTTGAACTATGACTCAAACATTTTCAAAAAGCTTCCATGCTTCTCTTTGCCTCCTCTATTTATTGTTTTGGGTTTTACTTTGAATTACATACTTCAGCTCAAGAAAAAATACCAAGGCCTTTAAACTGACTTGTAAATTATATCCAAGATATATAAATAAATAAATAAATAAATTTGATAAACAAATAAATAGATAAACGAATATAGATAAATAAATATATATATATATAATATTTATAATAAATGTGGGGGTAGAGTCTACCTTGACATAAAGTGCTCAATGCTGTGGTAACAGATCTGAGTATATATAAGTGAAAGAATCAAAGAGGACACATTGATTCTCTGTTACTCTGAGTTTCGTGCCTATTAGCGCTCGTCAGACAGAACTTTATTCAATGGAGAGCAAACCTCCTAATTATATACAAATTAGATAAGTAGCTAATTAATTCACTAGCATAATGATCTGATCTACATGTGAAATAAAGATTCTATAGAGCTATTGTTGGCAGCTTGTGAAATTTACTAAGTAAAACTTATTCTCGTGGAGGCATTTAGAAATAAGTTCTGGTCTTTTGTTTAATAGAGATGGCTTCTTAGCTCTAACTAAATAAAGTTTTTCTGTGAGGCACATGTGGCACCGCTTGCTTTTGTTGCTGTAGGCTGGAGTGGTCACTAAAATACTCCAGTTTATTGTAAAATTGGTGTTGCTGTCTTTGAATGTCCAGATATGCTTTGATAGTTCCGTGCTGTTTGAATAGTTTCTGTTGCAAAAAGAAAGTTTGTGTTGCATGTAATGTTGTTTAAAAGTTCCTTCAGTTAGTCCAATGTAATTCTTTCTGTTTGTGTCATTTTCTGTTGTTACATTGGCGTTGTAGACGACGCTTGAAGTGAGGCAGTTGTTTTCAGAGGGCAGTTATTTTTTTTCCTGCAGTTACATTTGTTTTCAGTGGAGGGTGTCTTGCTTGTCTCAAGGATTTTTCTGTTGTGCTTCTTAATTATGGTTTGTGGGTTGTCTGTGCAGCTATAACTAACTTTCATGTTGTTTTTGTTGAAAATTTTGCTGCACCAGTGATTTTTTGTGAAATGTTTACTGAAGAGGTTCAGAAACTCTCTGCCGATGTTTGTTTGTACATTCATGCTGTAGGGTGGATTAAATCAAATGTTTCTTTGTCTGTTCTTGCGGCTGTTCTGTGTGGTGTGAGTTACAGGTTTCTTGTGTTCAGTGTGGATTAATTCTTCGTCGTGTCCACTTTGTTTAAGAGCACTTTCATAGTGTGGTTTGGCTTTGTTAAAGAGTTCTTTGCTTGAGATGTCTGAGATTCGTCGGCCGATGGCTGCTGGTAGGTGTTTTATTATTGTAGGCGGATAGTTGGAATTGGTGTCGATGTAGAGAGTTTTGTTGTTGGGCTTTCTACTTAGCAAATTTCACAAGCCGCCACTGCACTTTGTGGATCTTTTTGGCTTTTGTACTAAAAAAAAAAAAAAAAAAAAAAAAGAAAACAAAGCAAAGGAAAAGAACAGTCATTTGGAGCAAAGATAATTAGAAAAAGGCTCTCAGGCAGCCAATCACTTCTAATAATCTGGATGAACATAAACCTAACCCTTCCAACCTCCAAAAAAAGATAGTTTCTGCAAATAAACATGCATGCTCTTAATCCTTTGAGTCCTTTGAATGACCAGGACAGAATTTCTCCTTACTTTATCTATACAATATCAAGCAGACAAGTGATGAGAAAAAAGGAAAGTATCCGTTATGGTATTTCTAATTGATGCGACACCAAATTCTCCAAACTAATATATTGAGAATCATTTGGAAGACAGTAAAGAGAATTAATAATGAGATCTTGGGAGTTAAAGGGTTGAGGAGAGACAAGCTAAATGATGGCTAAGGTTTTTGAACAGGCTTTGATTTATGTAAAATGCATTTTGGTGGGTTCCTCAACCTCCCAGTGCTTGAGCCAAGATCCCTGATTTTATATTATATTTTAAAATGTTGTAATCTTCCTGCGTTTTTACTTTCAAATCTGTTTGTTGTTACTGAAGGCCAAGCCACTTTTGTTTGACTGATGATCAGAAACGATGGCTTGTGGCAGGAATTGCACTCAACAAGATCCTTGTGCCAAAAATACGTTCATTTGTGGAGCAGGAGGTTGGAAAAGAGTACAACAACCTTAAGAGCAGTCACACCATTCATATACAGACCAAACCTCATTATCTCAAAGCATGGCCAACTTCTAAAGATTTCCTTAAGTATGAAAACATTAACTGCAATGATGGCCTCCCTAAGGTGAAGAAACATGGGAAATATGTGTATGACTACAACTCCTTCAACTACCAAGTCACATCTCACGTTGACTTTGCAAGGCTGTTTGTGCAAAATTACATGGCTAAGTTTACTGCATTTGATGACCACTGTGATACTTCTGCTGTGTTACAGCTGCTTCTTCGCATTCCAGCATTTTCTTCAGCTGTGCAAACTGCAGCAGATAATGTCAGAAAGACAAGGAATGATTGGGCCCATTGTGGTTTCAACAAGTGGGATCAGCCCAATTTTTCTAGGAGCTTTTCTGACATGGAACAACTGGTAAAGAGCTTGGCACTTCCAGTGGCTGGGAAAATACTTGGAGAACTTAAAGACTGGGAAACTAAAGGTAATTACTTTTCAATTTACTGGAACCATCTTTTTGCTATATGTTACCAGTAGTACCCTGGGTATTAAAATCACCCAGGTTTGCTCAAGAACAAGGAAAAATTGATGGAAGGTGGAATAAAGTGTTATACATGTGAAATTATCTTCTTATTTCAAAACTAATATTCTTGTTAATTTTTTCTATCCTGTTATCTATGAATTTGGTCTGTTTTAGTGGGCTGCAGGAACACACCCATCAAAATAATCATACAGTGTCATGAGAGGGGTGGCCAAGTGGTTTCGTGACTCCTAGAGGTTTCATACCTAAGTCATTTTGTACCCAGTCAGTTTATTCATTTCTTACCCAGCTTGGTCGTTTCATAAACCAAGTAAAGAAAGTATGTTTTCTTTGTTAACAATTGGAGAAAATATATCATACTTACACAAGCTGTTATTGTTAAAAAATTCATAGGTTAAAACAATAGACTATTTGCATCTGCCTTGCGAAAGGCAATAATTAAGTTGTGTTTACTAAGAAGGTCACAAGTATACACAACAGGATTTTGTTTGTATCTTAATCACTTGGCTCTTCTAACTTGTCATATGCAATGATTGACATTTATCACGGGCTTGTGCGTGAGGTATTTTGAGTGATTATGATATGAATCGATCAGGGGTTTGGGTATGAACTGACTTAAACTTGGGTACAAACTGACTCAAACTTGGGTACAAACTGATTCAAACTTGGGTATGAACTGACTCAAATTTGGCCACAAACCAACTAAAATCTGAGTACGAAATGACTGGGTATGAAATGACCATATACTGGCCATTAGTCTTGTTAATCATGTGCTGAACGTGAATATTGGACTATGATGTCAAAATAGTGGGTGCCTGGAAAGTGCATGCAACAAGGAAAATAATCAAATCATACTTAAAAAAGCAGAAAACATCCTTGAAATTAAGTGCCAGGCCTCCCCAAACCATAATATAAAAAAATATCCCCCCTCAAATAAGTATCATTCCGCCACCCCTTTTTCCCGTACTTTCTCACATATTAGAGACACAAGGAAAACTTTGTGCTAATTGCCAATGATTTATACCTTTTTGAGCTTCAACTACAGAGGAATTAATGCAGGAGAATAGTTGGTTGACTGGCACTACCAATTATTTTTATCTCCACATGCTGGCTGCTCTTTTAAATTTTTTCCTGTTTCTACACACTTGGTAAATGCTGTACCCTTTCCAGGAACAATTAGGTCATTCTTTAAGGATCAGTAATTCCTATGATAATTATTGAAGTTATCAGGAAGCGTTTGAAGGAAGCAGTTAATAATCATGATAAGCACCCCCCTTGATTAAGTGCCCTCCTTCCGATAAGCGCCTTTCCTTTTAGCCAAAATTCATATTATTTACATACAATTACTAAAAATATTTACGGCTCTCTCTCCGCCCCCCCGTCTTCCTCCTTCTAAGATCTATAAAGACCAGACCTCAGCTTCCACTGAAGTGTGGGTTGGCCCCATAATGATGGACAAGGATGTAATTGAGGAATTACAATTAATTATTTTGCAAAAATGGAGATAGATTTGTTGGAGCATGTCTTTGCGTTATTTTGGTCAACTGAAATGCAGTTCATTTTGTACCCAATTGTGCCTTCCTATGTCCTATCAGATTTGTTTGAATGCATTTGAGTTCTCATTTATTATTTTTTCAATGCAGATAAATTATTTCTCTAAGTGGTATGTCCACCAGCTACTCTAAGAAAAAAATTGACTTTTGTGCAAGATCTCCAATCAACAGATCACGATTGATAGCTAAAGCGTTCTTGATTCAAACAAACGAGACGAAAATCACTCTCAGCGGTTTATCTTCGTCAGCGTTCTGAAATAACTCTTACACAGTCTACAGAAAACATCAGAGTTGGATGCTGCATCGTTAGGTAGATACTCAGACTTCAGGTTCTCCATGGAGCGACAAAACGAAACAAAAAAGCAGCTTAAGGTGCTTGACAAGCACTTGTAATGACTAGTTTTCATTGAAGGTTTGATCGTTGAGTGGTTGACTACATGTAGAAACGTCGTAATCACTTTTCACTTGTATTACCAGGAACAGCTCTTTGCCAGAATTCTCCTGTAGATCCAGTACTGTTACAACTGGTCCAGCAGGAGCTTAACTTTCTTCAAGTTTCTGTGGACAACATGTGTGTGGAAAATGAAGAAGACAGGACTAAGGTCGCGAACGCGTTACGAACTGTTGGAGAAAGTCTGGAGGAGATGAAAAAAAGAGTGGAGAACTTGGAGTTCCGGGTAGAAGTTGTTGAGCGTAGACAGGATGATTTCGAAGGTGCGTTAGTTTGTTCTTTTGTCATTGCGTTGAAATTTTGTGGGTGATCACTTTGTTCATAGTAAAGTGTTTCGAAGAAAAATGAAATTTTGTGGTGTTATTTTATGATACAGATCGTTGAGACGGTGTTTTTTGTTTTCCTTTGGAGATTGCATCTTGCTTTATTTTATAGGACCCGTGCGCAAGAAAATTAAGAGGCTTGAGAGCAACCAGCAGAACACGAAGAGTCGCGTGGAACTTGTTGAAGATGGCATGAATGTTGTTGAGGAAAAAGTGAATGTTGTGGAAGGCACAATGGATGTTGTTAAAAACACTGTGCTTAACCTACAAGGTACTCATACACGTAGGACCACGAAGGAGGAAAATAATCAAATGACCCTTACATTACGTAAAAGGGCTTTTTACGGTCAAAAGACGGATCCAGTGTAGTGATATATCTTTGCCCGTTTGCAAACGGCTTCTTTGTGAAGAACTCCCTTGTAGTACAAGTAGTACAAAGTTTACAAAGGCTGGTTTCTCCAAAAACCAAGTTTTAAACTTGGACTGCAACTCATTTTGCATCCTCAGGGAGAAAATCTCAAGTCAATTGCACCCTGTTTGCTTCTCGCGCTTTTGCACTTCAGACATCGCGATTTGTTCGAATTGTTGCCTTCTTGCAATGTTTTAAACCCGGAGAAAATATTTGTAGTGCTTTTGAAGTCTTTAGAGCTCTTTCTTTCGTCGCTAGCGAAAAGTTGAATTGTTATTCGTGATTCGCCGCGGTTATTCTGTGGTTAGTTGCCTCATTTCTGGTCGCGAGAAAGATTGACACTAAAACTCTGACTGGCCTCTGCAGTGAGAGGAGCTGTCCTCACTGATTGCCATATCCAGAGTTAGACTGTAGGAACAATCCCTTCTAGACCACAATAAATGTGTAGAGCTTGAGCAGTTGTGTATCGAGTTAATAACTGGTGGGCATCCTGTTTAAACAAATTTCCCTTTGCTGTCCGCTCATCCTTCGATTAGATGATTATTTCAATAGGGTATCTATTGCCAGGCAGATTCAAAAGTTTGATTTTACAGGAGACACTATCTAGCTCGCGTCTGGTTGATTCGTCTTCACCGCCATAACTTTAATTTGTGTGGTGACGTTTACCAGAGTTTCCGACAAGCTAAGAAATCCCGTATCCAGCGCCTTTATTCTGGCGAATACCGCTTTCCGGGAATAGTCAAATCCCGTAAAGATATTCTGTTTTCTTAAGTCCTTTACCTTATTTTGGTTGAATCATGGATCGCGAGAATACCCTTCCAGATCCAGAAAGCAGTGTCTCACAGAAACTGTTTATATTTTGTTTACCTTTCAATGGGTGTTCCGCAAGAGTTGTCTTGATCGGAAAAGAAGAACTGTTAAAAAAAGGTCTAGTGATGGGTTCTTTGAGCGCCACTGTTTTTCACTAACTGTAACTCCGTCACGCGACTACTTTTGTCCATGCGGACAAGAATAGTGAAGCATCTTGTGTAAACTGAAAGCATACATTTGCTGGTCTTTGTCAGTGACGTGAGTTTCTGCAATAGGGTGGCTCCGTTATCGCGCGCTGAAGCTCTGAAAACTTTGAGAGGAAATTACTGACGCACAGTTTGATAGAGTTAACCAATAAGTTAATGGCGCTGGTTAAGCTTTAGATGTTTACATTTTTTTTCTTAAAGTAGCTTTTATTCAGAATAGTATTTACAAATTTGCGTAATTATACCGTGTACACTGTTCAGAACAGCACTTCGTTACAAAACAAACAAGCCATAACTTTTGGTATACTCCGTATGGCAACATAACTAAAATGAGACTGAGTGGAAGACAATACTTCTGAAAAAATATAAGTTTGTTGTTGCTTTCCTTCCCACAGAACAAGTACAAGACCTGGTAAAGTCTAAAGGTTCTGAAGTCGCGATGGCATGCGCTGAAAGTCCCAAACCAGCCGGTAAGTTGCATCAAAACGGATAACTTTCCGTGGAGTAACATTCAACTTTACTCCTGTTTTCATGAGCCCCCTGCCGTATACTTCGCTCAGTTTTTTTAATTGAAATTGGGCTTTCGTCTGACTCAGCGTAAATTGTTAATTAAATTTCTTCCACTGAACTTTAGTAAACCAAAGATAATGCTTACTGGTACGAATCAAGAGTTGAAGGATGCAGATTTCTTTTTTTGCGCAATTTTTTAATACCTTGGTGTTCAATTCAACTCCGCACTCTCATAGTAGGAGCAAACAAGCTTCCTTAGCAATCCTGCTTAGGCATAACGTTTAGAAACGTGAGATCTTGCCTCTCTCTGTTTTTATCAGGCTTTGTAATGGTACGATGCTGTGTGGATGTTATTTGGCGAATTCGTCACCACTCTTGATCACAATGGCATAAATGGCCAGACACCAGACTATTTGTGTAGACTTACCTCTGTTTAAACTTTCCTCTGATAGGCACAATTTATTTTTATATTTTACTGTAAATCAAAGGTGTCCCCCAGTTATTTATGTCTATCTCTTAAAATTGAATTACTGTTGTAGTACCGTATCTCATTTCGACTAACTTAGGCTAAACAGGATCAGAACAGGATATATAATGTTTAAATATTTCTTTTTCGATGCAATGAAGGCATGAAACGATTGCACATACAGCCTATTACCGATAAATTTTCCAACAAACCAATTTCCTTTGCAATTTGTTCACGTCTGTCACATGCCTAAACTCATTAAAGAGTGCCTTGATCATTACTTGGCTTCGTGGTGTAACAGATAAGAACGTGTCTTATAGGGAAGGGGTAAAGTGGGGGCTTACAGTGTTGGGTTTCATGATTAGTTTATTTGCTGTTTAGCTCATGATGTTAATTAACTTCCTAGATTACCCACACAATTTTGTAGAGCTGATCAAAAGAGATTACAAAGACGCCGTACTGTGTCCGTTCCCCTGGTGCGAGGAAGAGTTGCAAATGGAACTTTCTGAGATCTTTACTAGACTGAAGATAGTTGGTAGGAAGAAAGAAAGAGCGAGGTTAACAAAGGACATTGTGAAAATGACGGATGTGTTCACTCCACACAAACAATGTGAAAAGCCAAGAGTGGTGCTGATCGAGGGGCTACCTGGAATGGGCAAAACCACTTACTGTCAGAAGCTTGGGTATGATTGGTCAGTGAAGGACATTTCACTCGAAGCTTGTTTTCCTAAAGTGGACATGCTTCTTCGACTGACTTGTCGGGACATGAAAACCACCAACATCGAGGATGCTATTAATGATCAGTTACTACCACTTGATACAGATGAGAAGGAGAGAGAGAACGTCTTTCATTTCATTCGCTGCAATCAATCCAGAATCTTGCTAGTTCTTGACGGACTGGATGAATTGCCTCAAGATCTTTTTGAGGGACTGTTGCCTTTAATCAGAGGAAGAGTCTTTTCTAACACATACCTCCTTTTAACAGCTCGGCACGAAGCTGGAATGAAAGTGCGGAAGTACTGTGACACGCTTCTTGAGATTGTTGGTTACACTAGCGGAGATGCCGATAGTTACATCAAGAAGTATTTTAGCAATCACGACGATCCAAGCCTTGCTAAGAAACTGATAAGAGGTCTAGATAGGAACCAAAAGCTGAGGGAATTATCTGCCAATCCTCTTAATACAGCACTCTTGTGTCTTGTTTGTGAAGATTCGCGCGGAATATTCCCTCATAACAGAACCCTGCTGTACCATGAACTTGTCTCGTGTGTTCTTAGAAGGTATTTTTCAAGGAAGAAAATCGTTCTAGGTAACAAAAGTCCGATCGAGGAATGTTCAGATCAGCTGAATCAGTTGGGAAAATTCGCCCTTACTGCTCTGCTAAAAGATCAATTAGCCTTCACTCCAGAGGAGTTGAAAAGTCAGTCAACGGAATTCCTCGGATTCGGTTTTCTCTCTCGTGAAGCGAGTGCAAGTAAAATGAAGCCCAAGGCAACGTATGCGTTTACCCACAAGACCTTTCAGGAATATTTTGCTGCATTCCACCTGGCTCATGGATTGGCAATTGGTGAAAGTGACGAGGTCGCGTTGCTTGCTCAGCTCAGTCCTGTTGATAAATACTGGCAGGTGTGGGAGTTTCTCATCACAATGGCAGCAACTAAAGATGATAATTCAAGTGTTTTGGTAGTGTCGAATCTCTGTGCTTCCTATCAGCAAAAAAAACCTAAGCGATTCTTCCTCGATATGTATGTACAGCAGGAAGAATATGGCGATGACGATTCCTCAGAAGAAGAGGAGATGTTCGGAATGGAGGATTGGTTTTACAACTATGAACAGGACTACAGATCTGAAAGTGAACAAGATGACGACGATGTTGATAGCTGCAGTCTGGTTAACAGCGATGTTGACAGTAACGATGAAAGAGATAACTTTTCTGACGATATCTTGGCTAACGTTTGTATAGATGCTTCACATGAGTGGGTTGAAAGTTTCCAAGGAAGATGGATGCTCGGATATGATTCTGAGTTAGACTTCTTTGAAGCTATAATTTATACCATTGCTCAGTGTGAAAAGCCTAAAAGTGAACTCAGTCCGAACCAGATCAAAATGGCAGCTACGCTAGCACGCTGCCTTCCTTTGGAGAAAATGACAGTTCGTCCCTATGACGATTGTTTGCTCACGCGCAACGAACAATGTATTCTCGTTTTGTCTGAATACCTGAAAGGCAACAGGCAGCTGAAAGACTTTGCTTGGTACGGGAGATCTTGGTGTGAGTTAAGTTCAGCAGCAATTGGATATGTGCTCCAACCAAGTCATGAGCTCAAGCGCTTATATGTTTTGAACGATTTAAGTAACTCTGTACTCACATCGGCTCTTCAGGCAAATCGAACGGTAACTCATCTAAGGCTGAATATTACTGCAACCTGCCTAACAGGAGCTAAGGCATTTTGCGGAGTTCTTCAAACAAATCAATCTTTGACGCATTTGTGTTTGGCTCACAATGATCTAACTAATATTGAAGCAGAAGCGTTAGCACAAGGTCTCCTGTCAAATAGTGTGCTAGTGTATTTAAATTTACGTGCGAACAAAATTGGGAGATCAAGGAATTGTTGCACTTTCTAAAGCATTGGAGTCTAATCGAGTGTTGAGGTACCTTGACGTAAGTTATCAATGTCAAAATTCACTCCTATCTGAGCATTTTGGTGATGCAGGTACAAAGGCTTTGGCGCACGCTCTTCGATCCAACAACTCGTTGACGTACTTAGATCTTCAAGCGAACCAGTTTACTGACTCAGCAGCGGCAGAACTGGGAGAAGCTCTTCAGTTGAACTCCTCTCTGACACATTTATACCTAAGAAGTAATTATATTCCGAGCAGAGTTCTATTCGGTAATGCAGCAGCAACAGCTTTCTCAAAGGCTCTTCAGTCAAATTTTATCCAATTGGCTCGTTTAGATTTACATAGTACCTCTTTTAGTTCATTATGTGCAGTAACCCTGGCAGAGGCTCTCCAAACAAATCGCACTCTTAAGCGTTTGGATTTGAGTGACAACGAGATTGAATGTTCAGGCGCCATAGCCCTAGCACAGGCATTGAAATCAAATCAAGCTCTGCAGTTCCTGCAGCTGAGAAATAACAAAATTGGTTATTCGGGGGTAAAAGAGTTTTTTGAGGCCTTACAGTGCAACGAGACTTTGCTCTTCTTAGACTTGATGGGAAATCCAATAACTGCATCAGGTCAAGAAATTCTCAAAGGGCTTCAGCGGCCGTCTGTTTCAGTTTGGTTAGTGAGGTGGACTGAACCAGATTAAGACGCTGGCATTTATAGACAAACAAAACATTCCTTGGATAGTATTCAATTAATCATCGTGAATCTTGTTTCTGGGAACACTACGAGTTTTGCACTTTTATCGTACAACTGTATATAGTTTAGTACGCATGATCAGACGGGTCAATACAGTTTCTAAGGCTTTATTTTACTAATACATAGACTGCTGCATAGGTAACCAATGAAATGCGAAATACGTCCCAATAGTTAAAGGGAGTTGTATTTCCAAGTTTCAGTTATGCTCTTTCGCTAGTACAACTAGGAGTAGTTTTTGATTATAAAAGTTCGTTCTGGGGGACAAAATTTGGGTTCTGGAATACTTGGACTGGTGAACATGCCAGTAAGATGATGGATTCATGAGAGTAAAAAGCACTTTGAAATTAGCCGTAATAGTCGTCTTGGTCTGGTGTGGTTGTACGTGTCTGCTATTTTGTTAAGAGGGGCGCAAGCTCCTTATGCAGTCAGTTCGAGATAGGTATCTAAAAATTGCTCTCACCCATTGACACCTGAGTGTGACGCGTGCAGATGCAAACTTTAAAATCATAGAGAAACTGAAATGGTCCGGAAAAGCAAACACAACGCGCAGTAGATTTCCATAGATCATCTTGGCCCAAAAACAAGCTCCAGTGAAAAAAGACCATTTAACAACTTAACGAAAACAGTGATAAATACATACTAAGTTTTCATTTAGAAATCAAGATAAAAGATGGAAGACTTTAAATCTCTTCGCACGTGTGAAATCAACGTATGTGGTTTGGATTTCAGAGTATATAAGCAAATTTTTCCGTGTGTGAAGAGATCTCATATTACATGGTAATCTATAAATAAGAAGCAAGACTAAAGTGACCAAAAATATTTCAAAACGAAAGCTTTATTCGAAACAGTTCTTGATTTGCTGCTAGAAGCAAACAACATACGAATTTCTTACGTGGACGAAACCCACGCAGTCGAATTCACCATGCCTAGATCGTTGTTTACTTTACTTTAATTCACAGCTAGAAAATACAATCCTCACACTGTTATAAAAACCACGAGGTAGACTGGATATATCCGCTTTACAGTTTTCGATCCTCACACTATAATGAAAACCACGAGGTGGTCGTGAGATATCCGCTTTACGATGCTTAGACTTGCTCTGAATACTAAGAGGTCTGCGCGCATATAATGTGTGAATGCAGAGGGTCGACGAAAAAGTTTCGAAAAAAGGTCACCCTTTGGTTATTGAGTTCGTTTGACCTAAATAACAAAAGTGATAGGAAAAATTTGTTAAACTAAGATAATCTTAACGCGGAAAGATTATCTTTCCAAGGAAAGATAAAGTCACAGGGTTAAGTTCCATTCCTTTTGTAATTTTTTTGCGCTATCACAGATTTTGTTTTGTCCACTTTTAGCTAGCGTCTTGCCTCTGCCTCGATATCATATTGCATAGCCTTTCTATCTATGTACAGCGTTCAAAGGTTCCTCACACGGCTCTCCCTGTAACCCTCATCACCACTATGGCCGTACCGCTACATTCAATTCCCCCTCAAACCCCCTCTCCCCCCCTCCCTTAAGGCAACCTGGAACAGCTTGGCTTAGTCCGCTATTTATGCTAATAATTCTTGATTCTTTTCTTTACCACATTATTTAAACCCAAAATAAATGGTGTAAATTTTAGGAGAAGGGCTGCGTAGAGCATGTTATGAAAGTTTTGCATGGATAACGAACTCGGATAACGAACTCGGCTTTTTTTGTTGTTGCTGTCGTTTAACGTATTTCTTTATATACTATATAAGTATAAACATCTTTTTATTTCTTTACTTATTCGATTTTTTTTTGTTGAGAATTCATGATATTTGGGTCATTTATGTCATTACTTCATATTTTCTTTAGGTGTGCTCTAGGTGTTATTTACTTCTCCAGGAAGAAGGACCTTTCCAGGAAATGAACTTATTAAGAAAATAAAGATGTTTAACTTAACTGAAAACCTGGATATTCCAAGTCGACCTTGACTGTTTTGCGCTTAAATATAAATGCTCCTCATCATAATATAATCTTTTAGATATATTTAAGTATTTCTCACCCATCACTGTATTCCTAGGATATTTATTGATCCCCATCGCCGTTCACAGAGAATCCTCGATTCATCTCCTATCGAACTGTATGTTTGATTGTCTTTGATTACTAAGCCTTTTTCCGTGTCCGATACTAAAGAGCCATGAAAGATTGGGAATCTTTTTCAGGATGTTAGGAGATACTATGGGCATCGTTTTAAGTGGAAAAACTTTAATGACAATAATCGCAATCTGTGTGGAAAGATTTCGTGCATTGCCATCAGGCTTGTAGTTCAAGCATGTACTCACAGTGAAAAGGGTTTTTAGCTGGCGTGTCTAATCGGGTCACTAGTGGATCGATTTTGGTTCCAGAGTTGGATCGACGAAACAGTTATTTCATTTTGTGTAATTCCTTTGCCTTCGCTATCATCAGGTTATACTACTTGAATCCGAGAGCATGCTACCCACAGGGTCCGCTGAGCATAACAGGAAAATTACACTACGAGGGTAAAGACGAGCCGTCTCCTGAGAAGAGGTTTAATCGTATCCAACTTTAAACGGAAGTTGCGTAATGCATTTATTTGCATACCCTGGATGTCAGAATATGGAGGTAGGGCTTGGCAACAGATACATTCTGGATAGAGATATCAGTTCATCCACTGCACTAAATGCCAACACATACACCTGCTGGTAAGAATGATCGATTAAACCACAGTGAAGGATCATCGTGGTGTGCGGCAACCATTGACAGTAAACCATATCTACAAGTCGACTCAGAGAAGCTTCATACCACCTGTGCTGTGTCCACGCTGGAAAATTCCAATGGAGATCAATGGGTGACGAAATACTCACTGCAGTCATCCAAGGATTGGACAACTTGGACGAACTATCAAGAGGAGGCGAAATTGAGGGTTTGATTTCTTCAAGAATTTTTTAAACAATCACTTTTAGGTAATAATTTAATTTTGATCAATGACTTCGATGTGCAATGCAAGCTCCAGCTTGCAAATCACATGTAAGTCAAGTGACTTTTTCTAGGATATGGCCATTTAATGCGTGACAAATATTTCAATTTCCTCTGGTTTTTCTTTTGTTCTTTCTGTTTATGTATTTGGATGAAGAACCTTAAGAGGTTGTAAAGGAGCAGCGTCCAACTGCACATAATAAGAGAAGCATACTTCTTCAAAAGAGGAGTGTATCAGTGGTAAAACTAAACCATTCTGTCTTACAATCGCTCTACAAGACCCTAAAGAGGACAAATTTTGAGTTTTTCAGGACTGATCAGAATCGTCGTGATTTCTATGTATTTATTTCCTGGTTCTGCCGAAATTGTCAAAGAAGATAGAGATGATTTACAACGAACCTTTGTATGGGAAGCGTTTGTATTCGCTTAAGGAAAGGAGAATTGAGCATTTAATAATTAAATCAATTTCATGTTTCCGTTAGCGTTATCGATTTCCGATATCTCTTGCATGCTGAATCATGCTTATATGGATTTTCACCACAAATAATGACCGAAACAAAGTAATGAAACAAATTTTGTGCAGCGGGACTGTTGCGAGACGTTTACGCATCATTGTTCAAGAACACCTTGGTAAGAGTTGTTTGAGGATGAAGATCCATGGAGTGCCACGGACAAGAGGTGATTCCCATGTTATGTGCTATTACGGTCTGTCTGTCTTTCTATCGCCTCCACCAAAATTTCACTATCATCCGAAAGTGAAAATGTACTTCGTTTGTCCATTGTTAGAGCAGCCAAACAGAGGCTAGACTATAAAACACTGTTGTAAAATTTTACCGTTTTTTTACATTTTGCACGACGGCGTGATGAAGTCGCTCGTATGCTTGGCCGAGCTGGCAGTAGTTATTCTATGCTATGTTTATAATGGAGTTGCCAGTGAACAGAGAGGGAAATATGAAAAAAAAAGAGGAACTAGAGCCACACAAGATACTTGTGACGATAGCCAGTCTAAGTATATCGCGGAAATTAGCCCGGCAAGAATTGCGTAGCAAGGGTAGTGAAAGAGGATCTCAATAGGGTGATGGCTTTTACGGCTATCGGTTAAAATTTTGGCCAATTTCCGGCTAACGGTTAACACCTTTCCATTGTTTCCACCAGACATATTTTTTACGGTTAACTTTTTTTACGACAAACGGTTAAAATTTGTCAATTTTTACGTCTAACGGCTAAATATTTTGGCCGTTTTACGGCTAACGGTTAACCCCATTGAGACCCTCGTGAAAGGCTCTGTCATTTGCCTT